TAGTTTTATGTATGATCAAAGAAAGGATCTAAAACCTTTTGAGCATTCGTATGCTGATATTATTCGTTTTTTAACTACTATTTCAATGTTGTTATCAAAGCTACTTGCTAAATCCAGGTAACAAAAGTTGAAAAAACTTATGTGCTTCAACTTGAAAAAGTATGATTGTATCTTAAGTAGTTAGCATATATTTTTTTTCCAACATTTATTTTAAGGTTAAATTTCTTGGCTGACTTCTTGAATTTGACAAATGCATCTTTTTAGTCGCTGCCTCTCCTTCCACAGCAATCACGTCCACATTATCTGCGTAAGAACGTAACTGAATCAGAGTTCCTTCTGTATTTATTATTTCCCCCGAAATTATATATTTCTAAATAAATATCGCGGTTATGATGTAGAATCGGGGGACCTCTTGGTTCGGCAATAATTTTAGTTCAGGTGTGATGAAACCCTGTCTCTGCTTTTCTCTCAAAGAAGTCATCTTCGAGTTACAGTAACTTTTGTTTACCGTTACATGATTACTTCTAGGTTTATTTTAAAATCACCAGTTATAAGAGTACTCGATTGTTAACTACTACCAGAATCCCATTTTCTACCATCTAACTAAGTTCGGGTCTGAGGAGGATAGGGCTGTGGTTCAAAATGTTAACTGCTGTTGTTTTTAGGTCTGAGCTTGCTTTGATATGTAAGGGCATTCAATATACATTAATACTTCTACGGAGGCCGTGGTGGCTCTAATGAGGTGAACCGGGTTCGAATCCCCACGATGGCTGGTCGATGCGAATTCCGCAACCGGTACCCACCGACCACAGTGCTGATATAAAATATCTTCAGTGGTAGACAGATCATGGGTCAGAGTCCCTTTTCCGTCAGGCTTACCGTAGGAGGTTCTCGTGATTTTTTCTCCATGTATCACAAATGCGGGTTAGTTCCATCAAAAAGTCCTCCAATGAGAGCAAATTTCTCCCGGAACTTGAACCAGGAGTTCCCTTATCTTCTGGATTGGGTTCAAAATTACAAGACGATGGAGACATTAGTAGTCTTAAACTCAAAATTGGGTCGGCTGCTCAACGACGGTTATAAAATACTTCTACGAGACTTTTATTCAGACACATTTAAATTTTAACTGAGTCGTACCGTAATACATCACCTTTCTCATTGGACCGATGTTTAGGACAAAAAGAACCTCATATTTTAGATCTGACCTATCTGGTTTCTTCGAGGCACTTTATACATTTTCAATAGGTCTGATTCCATATTAGAGAGAATTTTAATGTTACAGCTGATACCTTGACTGCCTCTGCTAACAATAATGAAGACTTCACTCTTAGCAGGGATGAAATTTTCGCTATGGAATTTAGTACTCTCTGGAGAGTTCCACTGAGTCACCCATGGAACTTCGGGAATTTTCCCGAAGTACCATGAGTGACTCAGTAAACCATCGTGAACCTGTGGTGAACCATCTGAAACCATCGTGGTATTTACCACGATGGTTTCAAAATCGTATTATTTCTTCTCTAAAAGAATAATGCCAAAAATCTAACATTTATTTTAGCAACTGCCTGTTACTTTTTAATGAACATTTTTACTTGTTTGTTATGAACACTGATTGTCATGTTAATAATATGAATAAAGATTTGGTAGGGTAGGATTTGTGCTAATTTAGTAGGATTTGGACTTTAATGAGCTATAGGGATCATTATTTATTACTCAGTAAAAATCTCTTCCAAAGTAATCAGCAACTGTCTTCCAAATATATTCAGATTGTAGTTGGTTGGTTGGTTGTTAATTTACGTCGCACTAGAGCTGCACAATGGGCTATTGGCGACGGTCTGGGAAACATCCCTGAGGATGATCCGAAGACATGCCATCACAATTTTGATCCTCTGCCGAGGGGATGGCACCTCCGCTTCGGTAGCCCGACGACCTGCACGCGAAGTCGAGCACTTTACGACAGAACAGTTTAACGAGGACCAATACCGCACACCCTATATTCAGATTGTAATAAAATTTGTATTAATTATTGCGATAATTACTATTCCTTTTTTTACAGTGGTTATAATGACAATCTTACAAGAGAATTGGATTGAATTAATATGTTCAATCCAATTTTAGAACAATATGTTCTATAATGTTCACACGACAGCATTTTAATCTATCTAGAATTCTCATACCAGTTTTATCTGAATTTATTACCTCATAATTCAGAATTGAAATTTAAACTATCAAAATCCTCCGTAAAATCACGAAAGATTTTAATCTCACTAGTAGCTTTTGCTCCTTTGGTTTTCATATAAAAAGAACTACCTTTTCATTTTATGAGCGTGCATAATTTTGGAATAATTTTTTTAAATTATGTTTTAGTTGATCTCGAAACAATTTTCAATTAAGTATGCATCCGTGGCACCATCTCTTGGGACAAGTTAATGCTGCCTTTTGTGCAAACGACGCACTTGTTTGTACTATTTTGATAACAGTCTTGGCAACTGCCAAGCTTTGATAATAGCCTTTGCAATTAAATTACTTTTAGTAATTTAATTTTTAAGCAAAAACGAAATTGTTTTATACTTTTTAGTTTGCTAGAAGAACGCAGTTTGTAACATTTTACTATATAATATAACTAGTTTCAGTTACGTGTTTAAAAGTTTGTGTTGGTAAGTTGTCGAAACTTGGGTTGATGATAAAGCTAATCTTCATGATTCAAGAAAGAATTCTAACTTTAACGGACATCAAGTCCACAGATTTTAAGCAGAATTTAAGAGCACAAGCATATCGGAAAATGGCCGAAGTTTAAATTTGGTGACACAGGAAACTTACAGTGCCATTCGTCACAAAGCTGCAGTTAAAATTCGAATGTTTTATTTCAAAATCAGAATTTTCAATTGCCGGATATTGTTTGTAACCGCCAGAAAACAATGGAAGCTTCTATTGTCCATAACTCCAGATGAAAATCGAGTACTTTAAGGAGTCAAAAGTAGCAGGAATTTTAATGGATGATCAATCCAATTTAGCGATACAATCAGGTCGTCACAGTCAGAAAATGAATAAAACTTGCCATAGTTCAAACATGCAAGTACGGAGCTCTAATATAGACTTAGGTGCTAAAAGGGAAAATGTTGAAAATTTGGCTGCAAAATACAAGACTTGAAAGCGAGTTGAGAGGTAAAAATTATTTTTATTTTATTTTCTGACGAACTTCGGAGATCAAGTTTAGATGTGGATAATTAAATTCTACTACAAACACTATCAGAGCTGATGACAATGAAACTCATTTCATTTCATCGCCAGGTTAAACCAAAAGTTAAGAATAAGTAGACCAATTATATAACTAAGATTTTCCACGTCGTCTAACAGGGACCTTCAATTTTTCTATGGATTATGTCATTTTTTTGAGAGGTAATTGAGCAGGAAAAAAAAAAGACAGAAGCCTAATTCTTGCCATAAAGCGTGATCTAAGGTGGCGTGGTAATTTGAAGTAATTTTTGCTGTCATTTCGGTCTTTGTTCTTGGGTAAAGAAAAAGAATTCTTTCCATTATGAAGATGCGGCCTTGCCTCCTTCAATTTTACTCGTCATTTCACTTTTATTTTCCATTCCTTTTTTTTTGTCAAAAGTTTCTTCTTTGTTGAAAAAAAAAATCAATTTACGAAAAGGTTACGAGTAAACAATGTTTGAGTTATGAGATACATTATTTTTTGGCGATAAAAATCGCTGGAACACGCCAATCATTTTTAATTAAGAGAGAAAAAAAAAGACAAGGAAGCCAAGATTCTTGAATAAAATAAGATGAAAAAATGAAGTGAAATCGTTGCAAATCTCATTGAAAAATATGAGGAACCATAAAGTTTATGACACCCTTTATTTATACTTTTATAAATAATTTTTATCTTGTTCGAGACATGTTTTGTAATATCTGATAAAATTTATTATTTTGAGTTTTACCTAAGTAATATTTTAGTTATTAGTGGAAAATAATTATTAAAACTTAGAAGTCACTAAATGAATATTATTTAAGCTTAAGATTTTATACGTGAAAAATCTAAAGAGAAAAATCTGATCCGAAATTACATTTTCATTTTAGCTCCATATATCTTATATCAGGTAAATAACTAATACCACTCAATAATTTTTGATTTAATGATCATATTTTATTTTTACAAAAGACGCTTTAAAGGGATCTATTGGACAGCTTATAATTTACATATTGGTACTACTGATCCACTTCCAGGGACCGTAAGAAACTTCATTTTCACAATATTAGCATTACCTACTAGTATGGTTAATTAAGCATGACCAGCGTCAATAATAAATAGTTAAGCGTTTTTTCACGGACCCTGGAAATGGAGTTGTATCCACGTATTTGGCCAAAAAAAAAGCATCTTTTCTGACTTTTTCACAATGCTTAGAATAAAATTTGTCTTTTTGCCCAAAATTACTCTTACAAAAACATAATTTCCTATAAAAATATATTTTTAATAATTTTGAATTGTGCTAAGGAATCCTACAGTTTGTGTTAGCGGAATAACTTTTATTTAAAGTAATATAAAATGTTTTTTGGAAGCTTATTTAGTTAATTCTGTAAGTCATCTACTTAAGATAAAAAGCTTTCATATCATGTGAAACTTAGCAAATTTCATATACAAGTATACATAATATAGAAAAAAAGATGGTCAATTAGCTGCAAAAAAAACATTTATCACTTTTAAAAAAATTTTTTAAATTGTTACTTGACATATACACTTCTCGCTCAATTTTCGTGTAGAAAATCAATATTTAGACAAGACAAAATATAGTATACTTCGCTTTAAATGATATACAAAATTAACTGAATGAACGATTTCTTATTTGAATCAATAAAAAACGCTAATTAAATCATTAATTTATTAAGAGAGTCATTAAATTTTAAACTGAATCACTCAATGATTCATTAATACTTAACACATGTGTATTCAGGTATTGTCACTATATTTTAGAAAGACAAGGAGTAAATAAACAAAGAAGCATTGTTTATAAACGTTTATTTAAAAGTTTTGTTGCGCTAACAGATGAACAGCATGTATAAACCATTATAAATACCAAGATGAAGTATAAAAAATGTATTAGAATTGAAATTAATAATTAAAATACTGAAGTTTTTTTTTATTTTGAAAATACAAATATAGCTAAAGCAAAACAAATATCACAACTTAAGAAGGCACCGAAACCTTAAAAGACAATCTTGTAAAAGGTAAAACTCATTTTTAGTTTATCTTTTTACTTCATATCACATAAATTAGTGCAATAACAACCTTTTTGCGCAATTCAACATGAATTAAAACTCAACAATAAAATCAATATTTTAATTATAATCTGACTATCTTGACAATAAAGCGAAAGAAAGAGTTTCCTTGAAGTGTTATACGGTGGAAGACATATTCCCGTATATTCATCGATATACATCCGTATATTTACAAGATATATGGAATAAGTAGGTAAATAGCTTTTAAATTTTGTTCTTCATATGTTATATACAGATCCATCTAAAAGTTGCCTGATAATATTTCATGTGAGCTAATTGGATTTGAAATCGAAAACAATTTCCTTAAATTGAAACATTTTTCAGGCCAAACAGTCTCAACAATCTTCCAAAATAACCTTCCATCTGGACAAAACAGTATTTACAATTGTAAATTTCATATATTTTGTTTTAAGCAAGATCTATTAAAGATACCAAACATCAAATCGTTTGCTCGAATACATTTACCAAAAGATAATTCTTAATCCCGCCCTTCATTCCAAGAAATATCTTTATTCAGCAATGTAGGGCACCATAACCGGCATCGTTTACGAAAGAAAAAAAAAATAGAATGGTTGTCGGTATAATGCAGTCGAATGGGTCGTCAGTGAATATGAAAATCGAACGATCGTCAGCAAACTGAGCTATATGCAGACGAATCGTCTCCTCCAAAGTCCGAAGTGACATATCCGTCATCGTCCAATATTTCTGTGCTAATAGAAGATCTACCCCAGCTGGCTCTCTGCTGGTACCCCCTGGCGTCCCTAACTCTTTCGTACAAGTGAAAGTCCGAAATGGAAGAGTGCTGCCGTGGTAGTCCTCGGTCCCTCTGCACCCCACTGTCTTCGCTGCCACTAGCGTTATTACTGCTACGGTGTAGTCCACCTTTCCAACTTTGATGCAAAAGCTTCAGTCTCTTGAAAAGTCTTGAAGAGGCCGAAGATTTGGTGGAAGACATAGATTTCACAGTAGATGACCTGCAAAGAAACCCAAAAGAAAATAAGGTAAGTATTCATAAAATATGTTACTCTTATAACATTAACACACTGATACAAGAGTGGAAGAGGTTAAAAATCAATTTACTTTAACTTCAATCTAATTTAATTTTACTTATATTATAGCTCAGGGGAGAGTAAACTCACAAATGTGCTTTAAGATTTGAGTAGCACGATATGTACGCCATTAAGGACAGGATAATCTTGGAAATACATCCTATCCTATTCCATAATCTTTAGCACATATTTAATTTCGATAATGCCAAAATTCTTTCCTCCTATGTCACTTCTACTCATTTTGATGCTTTGGAGCCTTGTTTCATTCACATGAATTCTTCTTAACAACTTGAGTTTACATCCATAGCGTGTGGAACTGCATTCTGCCCACTGCAGTTTTCTAGTTTCGTTTTTTAAATTTATTTTCCTTTTTTTATTGTAGGAAATTTTACGCTTCCTGTTCCAAATTTATTGTGTTTCCTCATTTATATCTAGGGTATATTGCGATTAGGCACTTATTGGGTATAGGGGAAGTGGTATGTCTACTTTTCAAACCATCATATTATGAAGCAAAGTTAATTTTTCAAGTATATCTTCCGACTTCAGTTTGGGATTATTATTTGAGCGTATGATGTAAGTCTCTTTAGAAGTGAACGAAAAACTAATATAATATATATATACGAAGAGATTTTGAACGGAGTAATGGACAACGATAAGGGAGAAGCAAGAAAGCGACAGTGATTCTGAATGTAAAGACGAGATATAGAGCCAAAACAGCATTGAACTGAAAAAAAAAATTAAATAAAAAAATTATGAGGCATTTATTTAAATAACTGCAAAAAAAATTAACCTCCTTGAAACGAAGTTTCCTCTCCTTACATATATGCAAATCAATTTGCAAAAACAAGTCAAAATTGTTTATTTAACGTTGATTCGTATTATAATTTTATAATATCTATAAGCATTAAAAATAAGGATTAAAAATATGTGACACAAATTTTTCTGCAAATTTGATTTCCTTAAAATTTTATCACTATTTTTGTGCAATGAATCACAAAATAAAGTTTACTATCGTATGTGACCCACCGGATTCAGAAAACTTGCTGTAGATTTACAAACCCAGGTTTCGCTGACTTTCAGGTTTTAAAGAGAATTTCTTCGTTGAGCATTTTATTCTGGATATAGCTCAAAATGTATATTTAAGAAAATGAACGCAGCTCGAAATATGTGTTTAAGAAAAGGAGATTTAGTTATTTAAGAAAATGGACATAATATTTGATTCCGTTTTTTCAAATTTCGCTCATGAAAATTGTTCTTTTTTTAAGGAATAAACTTATGGATGCAAATAAATTCGTAATGTGATGCCATTAGCCTTCAATAGTATATTTTGTTAAATTAGTCTTTTTTAAAAAAAAAAAGATATTAAACGTCGACGGTTTTTACACTGTTGTCACGGATTCTATAAATTTATTTCAGAGGCATTTAAATAACGCTGTAAGATTTTAGATTTTTTTTAAAACCTCTTAATACGAAGAGACTTACGATACGAAGGACTTTGCCCCTTCATGACTAGACTAAGTAAAATATTTTTTTTTCTTTTTATTAAATCTACACATTTTCTGGTTAATTTCATCATTCTGGTTAATGACATTTATTCAAAATAAAAACTTATGCATTTGAGGGTCAAAATTTTTTTTTTGACAAATGTTTTGCGTCTGTGTGAAATAAGTCGTGATTATTGGTGCTTTGTCTTGCATTCTCTAGCTTTGTGGAAATATATTGCTTGTGCATTGCGTTTGCGACTTAATATTTCTTACGCATGCTTGTTATCATGTTCCTAACATATTTTTAAAATTTTAAAAATTAGTTTCATGCAAATCGTAAACTACATTTTAAATCAACTCTAAGTGCGTTATAGTTTTATCAAAAATTAACAATAAAAATAAAATTTTAATCGAAGTTTAAAATTTTCAATTACATTTTATTATTAAGAAATAATAAAAGAGATGTGATTATTTGTTAGGTTTTAATCAATATGCTAGTCATTAAGTTATCATTTTAGTTGATTACTTTATTAATCAAAAAGATATTGGCATTTTGGCTTCTAATTAAATACAATTTGCATTTGACAATACAGTTATATGCTTTTTTAATATCAGGACGTTCTCCAAACAAATTCTTTAGATAGAAGTTTTTATTTTAAACTAAAGTTCGATTTAACCTAATTTATTCACTTTTAAGCCTACTTTTAGACCAAAACAAGCTTTTCCCAAATTTAATAAGTTGTTGCAGAAATTGATTAATAAACAAGAAATATATTATGTAATTTCCATTTTAACTGTTTAAAACATAACTTTTTAATAACAGAAAAATTAGATTAGAGATCAAATCAAAGCTCAAAAATGCATTTTCATTCATTTTAATTATTTTTCTCTGTGCAAATAGATTAAAATTTCAACATATGAAGTTGAAACGATCATGATACAATTTCGTTTTTTAATTTATTTGCTAACTATTGTAAATGTTTTTTGTGACATGGAATTTTTCGATTTGTTTATTCCACTCATTATATTTAAGAAATTTAATGAAATTATGCAAAATAAAGCCAAACAATTAACTCTGACCTTAATCTCCAAGACTTTTTATTGCGTGAAAGAGTAATTTATATTTGGGCAATCTTACATAGAGGTTTATGCTATTACGTTTTTAATTTTAAAGCTATTAATCATTCTCTACTTAATTCATAGAAATACATTCAGTCAAAATATCGTAAGATAATTGTGCTTTACTGTAAAGTTACCATAAACTAAGTTTCTTATCTTTTTTCTAATCAGTGTAAATGGAACGATTATTAGGGAAAAATTTCAAAATAAATTGATGTTGAAAGGATGGTCTCTACCACGGGAGAAACTTTCATAACTAATTTACAATTTAAAGTATTAAAAAAAGTGAGTTAAGACAAACCTAGAGTAATCCATGAAGTTTCAAATACTGAAATAAAAAATTCAAAAAGCAAACAAATTATTGGAAGAGAACTTTCCCAATTGCTTTTTCCCTAAGTCTCTAATAAATTGTTTTCATTTTGATATTTTGAAAATTTCTTTTTAATACTTGAAACTTCGTGGTATTACTCTAGGTTTATCTTTACTCACGTTTTTAATACTTTAAATTGTGAATTAGTTATGGATGTGAAAGAGAATTTGCGATGTAGAATTTCTCCCGTGGTATGGAGCGTCTGCTTAAAGGTGCTAACATTCAACAGTAACTTAGTGCACACTTATTTCATACATTCAAAGTTATTTGCAGTTAAGATAATTTTATAAATTTTAAAATAAGTTTTTTTAATCAGGATAAAACCGATCAGAATGTATAGCAAATCATGATACTCATTCAATATTTAAAGTAGTGTTTCTTTTATGATTACAACAAATACATAATAAATACAGATATACTATTATGAGTACATAACTCATTTAATAAATTAAATGTATGTTGTTTTAGGCTTTCTGATATAAAGAATTTTGTAAAGATTAACTTAGTGATTGTTAAAAGATAGTATAAGAAAACCTGATAAACTAAACAGAGTGAAACAACAGATCACTTATAATGAAATTTGATGACGCAGCAAAACGATCTTCTAACTACACATTTAGATTTATAAATTGCTTTTACTCCATTAAACTGCAACACGAAGATTGTACAGCATCACTTTAAAAACCGGCTCCTTTAAAAGAAATTAGAGGTAGCACAATAATTTCAATAATTGGATTTATTTTGTATAAACAAGACAAGTCCCATGTAATATGTTAATATAAATATTGATTAAGTGAAAGAACATTGCTTTTTTAAAGCTAGAGTGGTAGATAGCAGAAAAAATATCCATTTCGCATTGACAAATATTTATAATAAACATAAAAAATGCACTACCACTTTTTTGAAGTAGGTTTTTATCATATATCGATCATTTTTTGTGGCTAGCGTTAATATTTATATTAATATATTACGGTGGCTGTAAATACAGAGCATTTGTCTATTACGTAAAGGTTTTAATGGGGAAAGTTGTTTTGTAAACAACCTCCTGATGTTTCTATACAGCCAAAAGCTAATTTTTTCCAACTTAATAAAATCTAAATTAAAATACTCTTCACTCAAGTTTTTAGTGAGGTTATAAGATTACCTGACAGCTGAATCTTCCTCCTCGTATGTATCGCCGCTAGATCCGGCACCATTCTGCGAAGATGAAGAGGTCTTAAGCGTTGGCATCACGTGATGAGCAATTTTTATTTGTTGGCGCCAGCTTTCTCCCCTTTCACTACAATACCTACAAATTTTATTCATGACAATAAATTTCTTTCATAAGTATACCACAATACCTATAAAAACTACTCATAAATATACTACAATAACTACGAATTTCATTCACTATTTATATGACAGTACCTACAAAGTATAGTCATTAAAAAAAAACTTATCGAACTCAGATAATTTTAGATGAAGTCAAGAACAAAATGAATATAAACACGGAAAAAAACGTGTTTCAAAATGTAATAATTTATTAATTTAATAAATTGCTTTCTAATTATTTAATTTTTTTTTTTAAGAGAAGCGTGTTAAATACAGGATATAGTGTGGAGCGTTATACTTCACAGACTGTATGGTACAATTTACCCACCAAAATTAATAATAAATTTATTCGTGCCAGAACTTCTATCAAAAATATTTCAAGTGGCAAAAAAATTAAATAATGTTTTAATGATACAAGTCTGCAATGATAATCTGCAGCAATTAAACAATATATGCTTGGTACATTCGAACCATTTTTAACAAAAATACAAGAGAACATCCTAATCTGTCAGATTGTAATTAATTTCTAAATTACTAGGAGTACCTTCTGCTCGCTCTGCCCACCAACAACCGGATTGCTTCTCATTCAGAGGTATGTTATTTTTTTCTTATTTGAAGTCTGTATTTTTCAAAAATGCAGAGAATATTTATTTTATAAAATATATAATTACTACAAATTTATGCTAGTACATTTTGTTGATGTAGTAATCGTAACTTGGGCTTGAAAAATAAACATCTGTGTTAGAAAAAAAAATTGAACTTAAGAGTTTGGCGAAATAAGAGGTAATTTTATTCGATAGTGATAAAATAACAATACGTCATTATATTCGAATGAAATTTTTTTCATCTCTCTTGAATTCTTGAACTAATTTTTTTTAAATATTTCTTAAAAAGTTTCAATATAAATGTTATCTATGATATCTAAATTCTATCTTAGATGCTGTATCTGGCAACATCTAATTACTCTTTTTTTTTCTGCTTTCGATATCAACTCATGCGCGAGTATATAAAGAGCTCGAGAGAGAGATATGAATTTTTCGAAAACAATGGATAAACAGTCCTTATTTTAAGCCAAAATGTGAGAAAAATTCACGAAAAAAAGAGACCTTAAAATTGCAAAAATTTCGGAAGAAAAAACTCAAGATTACTAATAAATACAGCCCGCCCTTTCAGCACGTCAAATTTGTACTTTTTAATTGCATTCCTACGGGCTGCAGAGTGGCCCGCAGAGTATTTTTATTACAAGTTTAATACTTCATGATTCTCGAATAAATAATCGAATGTTAATTTTTTTTTTATTCCATCGCTCATTATGTACATTTTTTTATACACCTCTGGAATTTGAAGTATATAAATCTTATAATTTATGCGTGATAAAATAAAATGATGCAACCGCCCATAATAGCGGCGGCAACGTCGCTGACGATTTCTAAGATAGAAGTTAAATTATAGATTAACTACGGTTTTTAAATATAAGAAGTTTTCGCACATAGATTGAGAAATAGCACGTATGAAATATACTCACCTAATCATTTTATTGAATTCTTTAGAAAGTCTGGCTTTTTGGTCATCTAGGGGTCTCAAGAAGGTGAACTCACTACTGGTGTCTATCTCTAGTAAAGTTGGATCACCATTGCCCAATCCACTTTTTAGAGCACACGCAAGAATGACGTGCCTTTCTTCAGACCATTCCAGTCTCAGTAGACCAGTGAAAGCACACCGAGAGTTCCGTGGTCTGTCACCGCTTACAACCCGCACTGTAAGTGGTAAGTTGGCGATGGCCAGTAATTGTGACAGTTTATAAACATGACTGATGCTGCGGGTTCTTCGACCCGCAACTGAAAAGAATTTTCCTGGAGTGGGGAATGGCAAGTATAGTAGATCTCCTTGTCGATCGACTACCTTGGCATAGCGAAGAGGCTTGGAGTGCTTCGACGAATAGGTGGTGTCTTCATAAGCACCTAGGAACTGCAATACTTCTCCTGCCCTTACCTGAAATATTAAAAACGACGATTATTTTATTTATTGTAAAGTTTGGATTAACTCGATCTAGGGCTATTTTTTGGCGAGCATTTCGAAGCTGTGTCCTTATTTTTTAAACACGCATTTCGATCTGTGTCCTTATTTTTAAACACGCATTTCGAGCTGTGTCCTTATTTTTAAACACGCATTTCGAGCTGTGTCCTTATTTTTAAGCACGCAATTCGAGCAGTGTTCAGAATAAAAAACTCACCAACGAAATTAAGACGCCAACTTGGACTTATCTCAAATAGAACTCCAATAGTTCTATTTGAGATATCACTTTTTGACGTTCAATTTGTGACGATTCTATCGTCATTTCACATCGTTTGATAGTTTTTTGTTTTTGTTTTCTTGGCAGTTATCCTTTTTCGACTGATTTCGAATTCTCACTTTTAAACGATTCTGATTGATTCCATCGTCATTTCATAGAGATAGTTTTTTCGGAAATTATCATTTTTTCTGCACTTTTCACATGGTTTTTCATATTCTGATATTTCTAATTGGGTAACAAGGTTGAATTTTCAATATAATGAGTTTGAATTCTTTGACAGGGCTCATACCGACCCCAATTTCCACTTAGATCGACCCCTGTTTTCATGTTTTTTTCATTTAATATTTCTTGGAACACACTCGCATCCCAGTCTCCCATTCGTCTGAAACCTTAACCCTAACGGGTTGATCCATTTAAATAGGATACGAACTTTCACAATCAATAACTTTCTACCAAATGCCAGATAAAATACTCCTTCGTATTAAAATTTTAATGTGTGTAGCACTTCTGTTCCAAAGCCGTACATGGCTGCATCTCCCTTTCGTCGCAAAATTGAATATATAAAGAACATTTTAGGCAAACTTTACACATAAATTAAATATTGTTAAAATTGAAACAAATTTTAAAAGCACTGAAAAAATATTAAGCAACACAATATAAAGTAACTTGGATGAGCAGCCTTATTCTCTGACCAGAAAAACTGTGGTTATAAGAGAATTTCAATATTTTATTTTCGTTAAACTAATTTAGCGTCAAATGACTACTAATACCGTCCATCGAATTCATTTGAATAAGCGAAATATTGAGAATGGAATAAACCGCAACCACTCAAGTTTTCGTATTACGTCACAGTATTTGGTCAGACCATAAAAAGAAAATAATATATATAAAATGAACTACTCGAAAATGACATGGTTACGGAAATTTTTATTACCGGAAGAGTAATCAAAAATAAAAAGTGAAAATAACTTTTAAATTGCCAGAAAATTACTTCGTTCACCACATTTCGTCCTTTAAATGTGTTAATGTAGCTTGAAAATTTCAAGGTCAGAAGGCAGTTGAAAACAACGTAGTTTGAAGGCTATCTAAACAGCTAGGTACAGTTTAAATTAGAAATTATATAAAATATTAAAAGAGTTACAGAAAAATACCTGTAGAGGATATTTTAATTATAGTATAGCAGTTGTATAGGTTGTTATTCAAAGTACTGTAATTTTGTAGATTATGTAGTGAAAGTGATCAAAATAGGCCGATGCTTTAATGTGATTGCTAAAAGAAATCCGGGATAGACATTTGTTGCTAAAAAGCTGCTACGCTTGCACGAGTCCTGATTTTTTTTTTCTTCTTTGAAACATGGTGGCAGAATTACTTCTGTTTTAATCATTTTTTGATCATTGAAGTTACCACAAGATAAGAATAAATGTAATCTAGAATTGAAAAAAGCTCTTGATATGATTTTTATCAATGAATTTACATTTCAATTTATGTCATCAATGAAGTTTCGTATTTCCGATACTGTGCCCCAAAACACATAACAACAGAAAGGATTTATTATTTACAAACCACCTCTTGAAAATCGTCCAGAAAAAACTTGATCCAAATGAGTGCTCCAGTTCTGAGTTATTAGAAAACATACATTCAGACAGACAAGCTTTTGCATATAGAGAGAGAGAGATGCATGTATTAGGCTTCTTTTTTTTAAAAAAAGGGCAAAAGACAAACTAAAAAAATTACAATTTGCTCTATTTAAGTACAAATAAAGGTGAGTTTCATTCCCAAAGCAAAATAAAATATACTTTTTTTTTAAATCTCAAAATAACTTAATTCAGAACAGAATGTTAAACTACCTATCAATATACGTAATTTTATTAATGAAACACTGATCAATTCATAATAATTTGAGGCCACTAAGTAGAAAATTTTTACAGTACAATTAAAACCAGTATAAATTATTCTTTCACAATAAATTTTTTATTAAAATTGATAATAAATACTTCTTTAAACACATAATTTTCAAGCAGTGTTTAATCGAAACGAAAATACAGTGAAACGGCTAGTACTAAAGCAGTTATAGCTTAAAGTCCTTAATTTACCAATAAGAATTTCTATGATCATTGCATAGTTGATTGGGATTAATTATTTTAAAAACCAAATGACAGAGACTAATCAATAATTGTGGAACTAAAAAGCTCCACTCTACCAGATACGTTACTGCATTTGCTGAAAATAAATAAAAATATTCATTCCCATAAAAATTTGATATTGTAAAATTATAAATTTGTTTCCTTTTCATAAAATGACTGAAGTGCTAAAAAATTTGAAACAATAAATCCTGCAGGAAAGGCTGTACGTCCGCATCATCTATATATACTTAGACACTTCTTAAGTTCGAACTATCGAATATTGAAACTTTTATTGGTATTATATGCAGCATAAAATTTTCAAACAATAATTTTTTATTATTTTTTATGGGATATACTAGGACAACAAAGACGTTTCTGAATGTTTATTGCAAAATTAGTGATTTAAACTTGGGTCAAGAACTATCAATAATAATGTTCCTTGCACTTTTCGTTTATTTACTTACAAGCACAAAAATGAAAGAAAAACTTTAAAAGAAGAAACTTATAAAAAAGTTCTTAATACGTCAATCAAAAGTAGAATTGAAACATGTTCATTACTTGAAATAATTTTGGATCCCATCGAAAATAGATACCGAGACCTGAGAATTTAAAGTGTTTCTCAATTCTTAACATCCTATGATTTAAACGTCAAACGAAGATTTTAATGATGGTGGGTGATGCTTAAAGATGACAGCTCACCTTTTCTTTTTAAGAGCTTCAACGCTTTTTTCTTATGAGCCCCTCACCTACAAAATGACTGGAATCTTCATTTCGTTATTATTTTTTTTCTTCCCTTCAACTTTTTCAGTTGGCAGCCCTGTCGCCTTCTGGAGTAAGTGGTTTACCTTGACATTGAAGTAGAACACAAGACTACTATTAATAACTGAAAGCCGAGGCGGAAGAGTTTACACCCAAAGACGGCAAATTTCTCTCCCTGGAGGGATTTTAAATTCTTTCGATTGAGTAAGAAATTGAAACTGTTTCCGGTACTTTCACCCAAACATGTTTCTTAAAACGATATTGAAAGAGTCAAGTTCAGAAGTTCATCGATTTAAAAAAGGGAAAAAAAAAATTATGTAACAAGTTCATTCCATTTCCACGAAAAACACCGAAAATTGAAATGAAAAAATAATTCCTTTAGTGCTGTATATGAATAAACCTTGAAAAAATGAAATAAGTAAAAATGATGTCATATAAACAGATAAAATCACATAAACAGATGACACATGAATCGTTTCGGGACTACATATAATAAAGCAACTTCTTCAGTGTCTAAATTTTATTTTGTGTATCAACATTGTAGGAGGTATTTCAATATACTATATCTGCTTACCTTTCTGTAATTCTTCTCCTATATTTCTATCGTTTAATTTCTTATTTATCATTATTAATGTCTATATGTATACACATATCTATATTGATCTTTTAACTACATATCTAACAATTAGAGCCCGGATTTTGATGACCTAAAAAATCTCAACTAATGCCCTTAAAAAGTGCAAAAAATGCCCTTAAAAAGGGCAAAAAATGCCCTTAAAAATCCAAAAATTGTACAAAAAATGCCTTAAATAAAGTAAAAATATTGAATTAAAAAATGTTTTGCTCTTTAAAATTATTATGAGTCATTTAAAAAATATAAAGCAATGCAATACTTGTTCTACGTTCATTAAAGTTTGAAAAATTTGTTTTATATCCTAAAATAACAAAAAAAGGAAAATATATTGACCCCAAAATATTTTTATTTTGTATTGAAGCTTTAATGGATATAACAACTTCCATCTCATAATATTACTAAATATCAGAATTACATTGGATTATTAAATGTTTTTTGATAATTTGAAATGTAAACGAGCGTCTCTTGTCTGAAAGTAAATTTTCATTCCTGCAGAAGCTTCTTTCAACGTCTACTGATGTTATAGGTGCGTACTTGAAAAAGACGGTCTCACTTACTGACAATTCTTCTTCAATTTGAAAAGATTTTGCTTCACCTGTTAATATTCTGTAGATTTTCTTCATTGTTTGGAAGCCAGTGTAATAATGAAAATTGATAAAAAAATAATGAAAATTGTAAAAAATTAACAAAAAACTTTAAAAAATGCATTAAAATGCAAAATACGCCCCAAAATTTAAAGAAAAATGCCCTATAAATCTAAAAAATGCTCTAAAAGACAAAAAAAGGTCCAAAAATGCAAAAAATGCAAATGTCATCAAAATCCGGGCCTTACTAATAATCTATCCTATTTGGTACTCGGTATAACGGATGGTTTTTCTTTAGTGTGGAAAAAAAGAAGGAACATTCTGTATTTCGACAGATTAAAGGAGCTTTATGTTTAGTAGAAACGATCGTTTATGTGGAAATATTTGCATTTATTTCACGTTGTTTCAGCTTTTTTCAAACATCTTAAACCTCAAACCAGGAACTACCTCATAAAATTCCATTATTCTTATTGCCGAATATTTTAATTAATATGCAATTTAATAAGAGTGAATAAATTTTATATAATTCGTAATCGATAAAATAAATCTGTTTTTTTTTCCTTCGATTGAACTAAATATATAGCACTTTTTATTAATATCTCAAATTTGGAGATAGAGATAAAAAAAATCGAAACATAGAAAAGGGATAAACAAGATGCTGTTTAACTTCCCTCTTAGGGGATTAAGAGATATTTACTTTTTATTATTCCCTGCAGACTTTACAACTTTTTTTTCAAAGGTTATGTAATATGCAATTAATAATTTCAAAGTTTATGTAATATGGTATGTAATACATAATTTTTTATAAATGTTTCCAATTGTAGCAAATTTTCTTACTCAAGAACTTATTCTTATATATTTTAAAAAAAGTTTTCCACTTGTATTTGTGGGGAAAAATAAAGTTTTAAAAGTAAAAAAATCGATATAATAAAGTGCAGGGAAATTTAAAAAAAATATTCCTTTGAGATCAAAAAATTCGCGAAACTGACATTCAAAAGGTTTTTTTTTTTTTTTCATTTGAAGTGCTATTAAAATCATAGAATTAGCATGAAATGATCCATTCAAAAAATATTAAAATAATTTATTAGAATAAATAATTTGTTAGGTATAAGAGAATTTATCTTACATTGAGACTCATGCTTAGAATTAGTTCCCTTTTCAAACTTCTAGACCCCAAAATTTTAATGGAAAAAAAAATATTTAAAAATTAAAGGAATTTATGAGATCTAAAATCTAACCTTTAATCCCCAGATCAACCTGTAAGTTATATTTTGAAATTCCCAAAAGATGCTGAAAAATTCAGATATTATTTAACTAACAATGAAACATTCTGAGGCATTTAGAGAAAATTTAATCACATAATCCACGGTCTTGAGAAATTGTAATCAAACTCGTCTCTGTTGGCAAGCAACAAAGAAGAGAGTTTAATACGAGATTTCTATCTGTGGTTATTAAGGAACAGATTACCTAGTATGAAAAGAAATTTCTTCTCTGCATAGCCCTATAATTCTAAATATTCATGCTCGCCAACTAAAATAAGTATTATCTAAAAGCTCGAATATGAGATTATGGATTTTTTTACACAGAAACAAGGAACACAAAAATAGCCATTTCTTTTAAACATAAATGTAATATTACTTTTTCCTTTGGATTTAAATGGTTCTTTTTAAATCTGACAGGCATCGCACTAAATGATACAACGATACGGCGAAGAGTTTAGTTAAACTTAACGTTTTCAGACAAGGTGGCAGGCTTTGGTAGGTTGATAATTTTGGTAGTTTTGTCTAAATTATGTCTTGAGTTAAAAGTAGGGGTAAATGGGCATTTTAAACTATATCTCTTCAACTTTTAAAGCAAGAAAAATTGAACTTATTTGGAGAATAACAGAAATAAGTTTGCGAACCATTTTGTGTAAAAATAAAACTATTTGGAACAGTCATCACATGGCTCCAGAATTAAATCTTGGATTAAAGCTCAAATCCAAGCCACCCAAGCTAGAATTAAACCATTTTAAAAGTTGCACTTTTTCACTAAGAGTGAATGAGTGAAATATAATGTAAAGTAAAGCACACACACCTTCGCTTTTACATATTTGAGATTTCCCTTTGGATCTGTGCTCTCCTTATAACCTTGGGTTTGATCTCTCGACAGGAAATACGGGACTTGAGCTGTAGCTATTTCACACACACTGTTGAAGTAACCGGCTGTATGTCCCTCCTCTGTAATTACAGCCAACCAACCTACAAAAATGAAGAAAACATTTATACATTCATCTAATTTATCATTATAGATATTAAAAGAGCATGGAGAGACAGCAGGCAATGAATCTTTTTTTAAACAATTAGAATTCATTACAATTTGATTCTGGTCGTTTTATGTATAGGAAACAGTATATGAAATCGACTGATTCCTTGACTCGAATCATCTGAACCGAATCAGTTTCAAACTATTGAATCCCTTCAACGATCCCAACTAGCGATTCGGTAAAGTACAAACTTCTACTACACTTCAAGAAAAAGGTTCGGTGTTGAGCTGCTAGTGTTACCTTACTTAAACTACAATATCAGGCGAATTTGCTTCAGCCTAAATAGTAAAACGTTTTAGGCTGATAATAGCATAACATTAGGTCAGCTAAGTTGTAATAACGTAAAATCAAGATTAAATAGTATAATTTGCGCGAAAACATTATTCAATTTAGCACTGCATTAAGATTGCGGCAATTATATAATGGTTTAATGCACTCCAAATTGTGTAACTGCATATATAGTATAGCCCAGGGGTGGCGAACCTTTATGCACCAACGTGCCATTTTTTCAAAAAATTGTTTAATGAGGTCATAGACGTGCCGTCAAATAATTTTGACTTCGTGATTATTGGGAAAATAATAATACTAAATTCTATCAACTCAAAACTCTTTATTTACTATGAAGAAAAGAAACATTTTGCAATGTCTCAGTTATGCGTGTAATTCAACCTAAAGTAACATTAGTGTGACTTCTGTTGTTGCAGATTAGAAGACAAATGACCTATATTAGGTTGTAAGATGCTAGTTTAAGCAGAACTGTTAATGTTTTTTTACTAGTTATTTATTGTTAGCTTGTTTTTTACAGTTATTGTTTTTTGGCATTAAATTGTTAATTTGTTTTGTTAATTGTTTATTTTTTTGTTTGTTTTTGTGAATTTTTATTTAATTGTTAATATGCTTCATAGTGAACTTTGTGATCGGTGGCGTGTCCAGAACATTGTGTCGCGTGCCATAAATGGCACGTGCGCCATTGGTTCGCCATTCCTGGTATAGCCTATACTTATTAAAAATTATAAAACGTCTAACAGGAACTGTTTTTGAACAGTTGCTGAAATTGGTCAGAAAATAATGCGTAAATAAAATTTGGACTATGGCAACCTATCACAATACAATGGTTTATCGTTCCCCATTCATCCACCGTAACTCATAGACTAAAAGTAAAAAAAAAAAAAAACGTTCGGGAATATTTTATTTTTAGTAAATATGAAATTTTGAAAAGCTTCCTTTCTAGAAATAAACGAATATTCCATTCCTCAACTTCTAAAAATTTCTTTCTCTGTTTTTAGAAATTTTAAGGCGCTATATTTTGCAGGCAAAAATATTTGAGTCCACTGAATTAATCAACTCTGCAACTCTTTTAAGATGCAAATTTCCATTTTTAAGTTGTAATTCATGAGTTGTAATTCACATATGAAATTAAAACAAAAGTAGTGTAGTTGTAAAAGATTATCCATTGTGTAATGAGTTAGCAGAACATCATTTAAGACACTTTTTCTTCTTTTTTTTACTCGCAGTTGATTGGCAAAAATGGACTCAATGGTGGCAACCAATTGAAACATCAACGTAAGGGACAAAAATTTTAAAATTGAGATTTTTATGTATTTGGCATCTTTGCATGGCAAGCTACATATATGGCAAAAAATATATTTTACTTTATTAATTTTTTTGACATTTTACTTTATCGCTCATAGCATTAGAAATAGGAGGAAAATAGTTATCAAGCCACTTTTCTCGGAATCAATAGTGTAGCACTTACGTTTTTTTTTTTTTGAATTGCACGGCAGTATGCAGTGTATCCAAACACAAAACTTAAATAGCAGCTTTTCAAATATTTTTCAGCAGCAAGCAATTTGTACAACCTTATAAATGAATGCAAATAACGAATTTTTCTACAGAAATAAGCATTATACGAATCTAACTTAATTTAACCTGCAATATTCGGGTTCTTATTGCAACCAAACCTTAAAATGGTAAGTGACATTTTAAAAGTAAAATGTAGATGAAGCTACAATGGCAACCAGAGAAATTTTTTACGATGTTAAAGCTTTAATTTGATAAGTTATTTCATAAAATGATTACTAAGAAAATAATTTATATGCACAAATGATAACAGAATCATAAGATAAATGCTTGGATGTTTGAGGCATAGGCGAGAGCAAACAATTCTTTTTTGCAACAAACATTTAAAATAAATAATTCCGACTATTGAAGAAAAAATTAGATACAGCGGCAGGCTTAGTATTCGAAAAAAAATGCTCAACCAAACACTTTTAAGGACCATAACATTATTTCATTTCTTAATTATTCTGATGAAAAACTATGACAAAAATATTTAACAGCACCAAACTTCATTTTAAAATGGGCACGATCTTCAAACAAACGTTCAGGAAATGATAATCAAAGAAAAAGTAATCATAGTACAACAATGCGTCTCTACCCATTAATCAAAAGTAATATGGGTGTTGATCTTCAGTCTCACTTAAGATGATAAACGACTTTAATTAAAGACACACAACAACAAATACTCATTTTAAAAAAGACGCCGGGTGGCATTCTGATTGTAAGGAGTTATTTTAAAAACAGAAAACTGCAGCACGTCTCTTTCGTCTCTTTGTGATTCAACGAGTGTCATTCAGAGATGAGTCTCTCCTCAATTGAAAGAACTGGATTTAAAAAGTAACATTGCTTCATTTTAAACGTAAGTCACCAATTAATCTCTTTCTTTACGATAACCGGAGGTCGACTAAGTGAATGAGTAGATGGTATTTTGGTCATTTGAATGATTAAAATAAGTAAACTGTAGGTTTCTCGTGAAAAATTATTAAAAGTTACCATTTACAAACAGCTAATACTGATTAAAATTCAGATTTGTGGTGCAAAACACTAAAGCATTGCTAAGTTTAAAAGACTTTTAAAAAACCTTTAAAAGGTACAACTTTAACTTTTCTGCACATTTTACTTTTTTTTTCTACCAAACTTCACTAGATATTGTACCCAAATTTCATTTATGGGATTGTTATATTACCTTTCTTCAGTTTTAGCAGTGTATTTTTTATTAGAAAAAAAATCCTAGAAGCATATTTCAAAGTAAAAAAAAATTAAACTCCGGGATTAAAATAATTTAGCTCATTATTTCATGAATTCTATTTCCATTAAGTGATTTTTTTTAAATTTAAAGAGGATCCACATCGAAGTTTTCGAGAAAAAGAAACATTTACTACCTATACACATGCTAATACAGCAGGATAATTCTAGTCTCTGAGAAACTTTTAACTCGTTATAACGGTAGAAATGTGTATCGTAGGCTAATAAAAAATATTACTAAGGTATGTTGGGACATTATACAAAGTCTAACATCTGTCAGGTTGATTAGAAAATACCATTTCAATACTGGAGACTTCGAATTAGCCAGGCGCATTGCGATGTGACGTCAGCAGCTTGTAAAGAGCCGGGTTTTATAACTAGCCTACGATATATTTCTGGACATTTTTCTTACTAAGACCTTCAATAAATATCACTTATTAAAAGCCTGAATAATCAATGAAATGCACACTGATGATTTTCACAACGTATTTTTAATGAATTCCGCGCAAACTAATTTACATAATGTCACCATGAAACCTTGTGAACTGCCTTTTTTTACAACACAAATCGAGACAATCATAAATTGCTCTTATATTTATTGTAAATATCGTAAAAATCTGCAGTATTTAAGAAACGATTTATCACAGTACTTAGACTTTTAGTTCTAATAATCAAATTAGCCATTAACTTTCTTTATAAGTATTTTTATTGAAGATTGAAAAATTTGCTAAGTTTAATCAGATACCAGTATACCAATAGATATACAAATTCACGAAAGAAGCAAAAATTGTATAATGTCTGTTACTTAAATTTTACATCAGTATGCAGATCAGATTCGAAAATGAAAATTAGGTAAAAGCAAACTCAATCACATCCCAAATCTTTCAACCAAGCATTGAACATACCATTTCAAAATGCATCTGTCAGGCCACACACACACACAATACCCAAACAAAGTATTCAACTGCCGGATGAAATTAATCTCTTACAAATCAATTTCACCCTAAAACAAATAACTTAATTCTTAAAGGCACACAATCCTTTCAACACCACACCCTTAAAAATGAATTCAAAACCCTACAATACTCTTGTTTAATACTACTTCGAAATAGGGTTGAAGCAGTGGAGAACACAAACCCAAGAAAGTCAATGGCCAAGTAAACTCGACCCAAGTTTATGGCAAGAGAATGTAGAAAAACTCTCATCAGAGATAAGAAATCCATAAATCGTCTGCCCGATGCTGCAATTGTTCATTAGAGCAATTACGTGCTAGATACCCTATTGCTGTGATTAACCTCTTGTATAATATAAAACCTCGAGGCAATGGTCACAGTAGCTGGGAAAAGTTACAGGTGTGATTAACGATAGGGTTTCGATCAATTATTACGGTTAGAAGAAGAGAAAGAATATCAACGGAACATTAAGATTGTTTATACGCTGCATTTAAACGTAGTACTTTACATGAATTTAAATTGCGTTAAGTGCCTGATACAATTGATGCTCTTACAATAATATTTAAGTTTAATAGTTAACCCTGTTTAACTGAGCAATTAAGATTGCTCTGCTTGGTAAAACAACGAACAAATTATTAAATATAAAGATGGGGAAGATAATTTTTTTTAAATCATTAGAAAATAAAACGCAATATTAACTTACTTAAAAATTTTTTTTTATAGATATTTCGATTCAAAATAAGTAACACGTGACAAAATAAGTATTAGACCATGAAAACTTCTATAGGCGTTCAAAATCTTGATGACAACAAGCTCGAGCATGGTACATAAACACTATTGTACCGTATTAACAACGAAAATACTACTCTATTTTGAAAATATTTAATGAGACAAATGA